GGACGTGCGCTGTCCATGGTGCCGCTGGCCCTCTGCAGCCCCGCGCCTGCCCACAACGCGCAGAGCTGTGCCAGCCAGGTGCCTCGGCCTCCGCGTCCTCATCTGCGCAATGGAACGAAGCCGAGGGGCCTCTGAGCCTGGAGGAGGATTCCCTGAACGGACGCGGGACTCAGCCAGCGGACACAGACGCGTGTTGTTGGTACCGGTCTCTGCCTTGCGGCTGTGGCCCCCAAGGAAGGCAGGGCCTGGCTCTGAGCTCAAGCCTCCGATTCTGGGGAACATATAGCCCTTCCCTCCCCTAAACACACACTGTAAACGTGGGTAATGTGTTTTTCCAGAACAGCATTAAAAATGAGGGTTCTAGCCAAGCCCAACAGGGCACACATCTGTAATCCCAGCACTCTGGGAGGCTGAGGCAGGAGGTTCCCAAGTTTGAGCCCAGCCTGCTCAACTTTGTGATTCAGCAAGATCCTGTCTTAAAAAATAAAAAGGGGGCTAGGAATGCAGCTAAGTGCAAAAGCCCCAGGTTCACTCTCCAGGACTGAAGAAAAAAAAAAAGTTCCTGAGCCCCACATCAACTCTACTGAATCAAAAGTCCAGCAGGCAGGGGCCAAGAATCTACATTTTAACAGAGATGCTCATGACAAAAGACTGCACTTCTTCACCTAGCATTTCTGTGCCTGTGCGGATATCCTCAAAGTACTTCTCCGAAACCTCTCCAGGACTCCTCGCCCTGCTCCTCGCTCGATCACTTCACAGAGCATACCCACCACCCATGGGTCACAGGACCTCGTTCAGAAGCCTGCAGCCAAAATCAAACGAGCAAGTGGAGAGTGGCTCATGCTGTGCCTGGCTCATGGCAGGTGCCCAGCCGACGGAGTTCCGCAATGCCCAGAGCAGAAGGCATCCCAGCCTCCCCAGCCTTGCCATGAGGCTGGCTCAGCACCTGCTCCCAGCCGGCAGCACCAGCCCTGCCAGTCAGGTCACACACTAACAAGGACCATCTGCCCAGCAAGCCCTACTGGGTGCACTGGCCAGCTGTTCCCTGGGCCTCATCCCCCAGGGCCCTGAGCTCCTGCGGTCAGGGACTCATCTCTAGAGGCTTCTGCCTGAGCCCCAGGGCCCAGCAGTCCTCCAGGTGCGGTGAGAGCAGGTACATGTGAGCTCCATCTACGTGGGAAATGCCCAGAACCTTCCTCAGCGCATGGAGGTGAAAGGGTTTGCTCAACAAGTATTTTCTGAGGGCCATGTGGGGCCGATGCACAGTGGGAGGGGCAGACAGGAAACAGCTCGACAACATCCAGGACCTCCCCGCAAAATGAAGCTAGCAAGGGAAGGCAGAGTGACCCCAGAATCTCTGTCTCTCCAAGATCCAGCAAGGACCATAGAGAGGAGAGACAACAGAGATAGATAGGCCCACGAGGGAAACCAAGTCACATCACATCTGAGTCTTGGGGCTGAGCGTGCCAGTCAGGCAGCCCCTGAGACTGGATCTGCGCTTTCCCTGAGAGAGGTGGTGACCAGGGTGCACACACGTGCAACCATCCAGCAAGGACCATAGAGAGGAGAGACAACAGAGATAGATAGGCCCACGAGGGAAACCAAGTTACATCACATCTGAGTCTTGGGGCTGAGCGTGCCAGTCAGGCAGCCCCTGAGACTGGATCTGTGCTTTCCCTGAGAGAGGTGGTGACCAGGGTGCACACACGTGCAACCACACACACACACACACGCAGTGTGGATAAGGACAAAAGCCCCTGCTCTTTCCATAAGCAAGATGGAGGAGAGTGTGGCAGCTTCTGGGGGGCAGCTGTGAGCACAACAGTTTTGGCACCCAGACAAGATACGATCCTGGAGAGCCCCACAAGCAATGCCCCGGCCCAGCAATGTGGAAGGCACTGGGAGGATCCTTAAGGGATTTTACAGGTCCCTGCGCAGGCCCAGTGGGGTGGGAGGAGTGAGAGACCCAGGAGCTGTCCCCAAGACCTCTTCCCTCCTGCCCCTCTGTCCCTCCAGCCACCAGAAAGGGCTCCCCACCCACTGCTTCCTTACAGTAGGGTCACTGTCCCCGTGTGCAGATGTCAAAGCAAGGCCCCAAGAGGGGCACCCCAAGGTGGAAGGGCCCAGGCCCACCGGGCCAAGGAGTTTGACAGTGGACGGTGCTGGTTCCAGGGTGTATGGGGGGGATCCTGGTTCCACTGCTGTGTGGGCCTGGGCTGGACTGTAGCCTCTCTGTCTTGTCTGTGAAATGGGGCATAAGAATATCTCCTACTTGGAGGAGGTTTTTGTGGCACTAGAGTGCCAAGTGCTGCTTACAAAGAGCTTCACACCAGGCCTGGCTCTCAGTAGGAGCTCAATAAATATTAGCTCATATCCTTGTTATTACTATCGCTGTAATTATCATTGTCACTATCGGCAGCATTGGCAGCCACCACCTTCCCTCTGGCCCCCAGGCACACGCCTGCTCAGGTGGCACGCTGTCCTCTGGCATGCCCAGGGCTTTTCCAAAGACTGCACAGGACTGGGGAGAGGGGGCTCTGACTCCAACCCCCTAGGCTCCAGCTACAGCTACGCAGGCAGTGGCTCTGCCAGGTGCTAATTGAGGCAAGAGAAGGTTAATTTAATCAGGGATTGGGCTGAGGAAGGAGGAGGCAGAGGACTGAGTTAACCTTCTGGTCTGTTCACCCCACCCCAAAGAGGCCTGGCT